ATATGTATGTAGTATATACATATATATAATACGTGAAGGGATTTTTTGTCCAGGACAAAAGATCTGCGGATACAATCAGTACGTACCTCATAAAATAAGCGAAATTTTTTTGTGCGTGGTTTGTTGGTGTGTTGTTGCGTCAACAAATGTGATAGCGATCCCAAAATTGCCGCTAACAGAATCTCCCCCCATTCTACTGCTGCTACCTGTTCAATATGCTTTGCTCCACACAGAATATTCAACGTGAAATGCTTTGAGAAGCTAAATGCTAATGAAATTTCTTTTAGAAATTTGAAAAATAATCAATAACGTCTACTTTCGATTCATACCCACAAATACCCAGTTTTTCTACGCAAAATTAAATCTTTAGAAACCATCTACATATTTCGAATCACAATCGTCCAGATTTAAAAATAAAAACTGGTTCATGGGCATGTCATTTTTATCAGCTTTTAAGGCGCCAAAATACCAAATACGGGACAAATACGGGGCATTAAGAGAAATACAGAACATTTGGCGCCCCGCATGAATTAAATAAATTACCAGGACAACTGACGAAAAAAGAGGACCGTCCCTACAATACAGGACGGTTGGTGCTCGTAACGATAATACCATATCTATGAAACGTTTTTGTTTGTTACTTACAAACAAACCTACTATGTATATACATTAGCGTTGCCAAATGTCCCGTATTTGCGATTTTTTCCGAATTTTTGACACTTTCACTGTTCATTTCAACCTGTAAACTTTTAAGGCTCTGTTATGCATACTTGGCATTGCTTGAGAGTTGTCACATAAGGAATCTGTTAAATGAGCTTCGCGTGTAAGCTGTTACCCAACGCACAGCATTACATACGTAGAAGTCTGTTGGTTTTTGATTTCCTCGTAAAAATGGTATAGCAGTGCATGCACTGCCAAGTATGCATAACAGAGCCTTTACTCAACGTGGTCATGCTTTAACGCGGCCATTGTGAGTAGGTCATAAACAAGCATTATTGCATGAAACTCTGTAAGAGAAATATAGCTAAAAATTACCGCTGATTTTTAGAACTTTTTATGTGAAGGCTGTTGCGAATTTTCTTCCATATAACGCATAAACAAAACTGACTTTTGTGTGGAAGAAAATGCGCAACACACTCCCAAAAAAAAAAACAACATCTAAAAAATAAATGGTAGTTTTTAGCGACCTGGAACTTACACTTTATTATACATAGTAAAATTGAATGGGATAAAAAAACTGCATACTCAAAACCTTTCTAGGAAAAATCTAATAAAAAATCGAAATTTCGTTGAACATTTTTTAAGTTTAGTTGTTGTTTGTGAACTTTGTGAAAGCTTTGGAACAATTATTTATGTTGTGTCTGATATAGATCGACCTCCTATATTCTAAATGAAAATTATTAACAATAAATAAAGATAAGTTGCCAACAGCATTATTTTGCATTTTGCTACCATCATTTTGACCGCAACTGTATCTTTTAATTTGTTTTCTACGATGACATTTTTTCCCACCTGCAAAACTTGGCCCACTGTAATGTACATACATACAATTTCACATTTGTCAACCGAGCGTTTTGGATGACGGCGTTAAGCTGCCTTTACACGGGTCGATTTCGGTCAACTGAAAAATCGCCTGCAAAACGACACGGTAACGACAAAAATCCACAAGAAAGTCGTCCCGTGTAAAAGCAGCTTTATGTAGATATTTAATGATGTCATTAAAGTAAAAATTCTTGAGATTGTTGCGCTAAAATAATTATTAAACAAACAAAAAAAAAATATACAAAATTCTACATTCTTATGGACTTGTTTACAAAGTTACCGACATACTATACACACAATTTCATTTTCTATATAAGCATATTATTTTATAACTAAGCTGAATACACACATATGAACAGGCATAATACATACATATGTACATACGCATATGTATGTATATTCATATACACAGTTTACGTAGGTACATATTGAGGTTTATCTATATGTCCATACGTGAGTGGGAGCTTTAAGAAATCAATTATTAAGAGGTCAAACACGCCAAAAAACATGGCAAATAATTGTGGCTGCCTTTACCACCTACAAACGTGTTTATAATCTAATATATGGGGGACACATACAGATCTATGAGTGCGAGTGACTGTGAGTTTATCGCTGCATATGTGTTCATTTATATACTATGTAAGTATGTATGGATGTGTGTGCACGCATGTATGCGTTCACATCTTCTCTCTTAGTTTGTACTCTTTACACAAACACGATCATTGTATTTACAAAATTTATCAGATCACCTAGAATTTGTCATCAGTGAGCGAATGTAAAGGCCTTCATTACAATAATAAATTGGTTATTATTTATCAATTAGCATATGCTCGAATGTACATACATACATACATATATACATATCTATAAATTGTATTTGGCATGCACGTGTGTACCCCTACTATGTACGTAGGTGTCTTCAGACCTTACATATGTACATACCCCTACCCCTTAACCATCTGTGCTATAGGTTTCTCTCCTAAGCAAAACATACGAACATAAATATTTCTTTCGGTGAAACGTGCCTCATGCAGCTGTAATATTTTTATTGGATTGCAAAGTGCAACAATGCTTAGTTTAGAATGCAATTACAGGGAATTGAAGCCGCCACAAAGATCCCGACGATGATATGGATTTTACGGTGTGCGGAGGTCAACATCGCAACCCAGGCGGTTGAAATATTCCAGATGAGCAATTTTGCCGCAAACGGACGGACAAAGTACTTATACAACTTCATCTGAGCAACGAATAGTATCTACATACGTCTTCCAGTGATAAAGCAACTGCCAATACAAACATCTGGGAGAGCACCTTGAATTTCTCAATTTGAAAGCAATCACGAAAGAGAGGAATACATATGTATGTACAATTTAAGCGAGTGTGCGCGTGTGGATGACATCACTTCGACTGGGTACAAAAGTCAGACAGACAAATGCATATGTATGTGTAAACATAAGCTAAGTCACTACAAAGCATTCAAATGAAACACCTTTACACAGACTAAAGTCATGAAGCCTACAACATCCATGTGCACATTTATACTAGTCCCAGTTGACTTCGAGGGATCACACGATTTGTACATTTGTACAGATTTTGACAGTTTGTCAGTCACAGTGTGGTGTTGTCTAGAAATTTGTATCGAGAATGAGTTCAATCAACTCAACAACAATTTTCCAAACAACCCCACTCTGTAACGGTGAAAATGTACAAAAATGTAAGAGCTGATTCGAAGATTAATTAAACTGATTCAAATACTAACTATTCAGCAATTGTATCCCATGGACACTAAACTAGGTCTAATCTCTTTAGATATTGGTTTCACTGGGATATGTGTCTTACTCTCCAATACCATCAAGGAAGACCTACTCATTTCATTTGCTGCAAAACCTCAAGACAACACGTATGCATATACATACATACATATGTACATATATATGCACATTCATACCCTGCAGGGAAAGCCACAAGTAGTGAATCAAAAGCAGTTCAGTACTACATAGTTTTTTATTGCCAAAAACAAACCAGTCCGATAGTAACTAAAACTCTTAGAGTGAACATTTGCTAAGCCCACTTTTCTAAACAATTACATATATCTTTATGCAAGAACAATTAAAGCCGCATTTTCCAAAATATGGAACTACCTATTTTATTTCTAACCGCTTCTATTACGTGATACGCAAATTTGCAAAGACCCCAATAGTCACTAATGATAACTCCCAAATAATAAAAAAAACTATTCAATAGAAATTAATTAATTAAGTATATCTATAAGAACTCGTTCGATACTATAGAAAAGGGGCCCACGGGGCCCCAAGCTATATTTTTTTTACTTTAAATTGATTTTTTGCGCCTTTTTGTTTACAGATGCTTTTCACACTCAAGCTCTGCACACTCAAGAACTGGTTGGGAATAGTTCGGGATGCAAAGCGAATTAGATCTAAACTGCGGAATTTATAATTGGTGCCGAACTAAAGAAAAGCTAATGCAGTTGAAGAAAATGGTCATTTCCTATGGCGTCTCAGTGTAAAATTCGCCAAGTGTTTGCATGCAAAAGTGATTTATAGCGAACTAATACTAGTTCTAAATGTACTGGAAGCAAAACAATTCAGAACTAGAGATTTTCCTACAGAGTATTTACATACTTACACACATATAAATACACATACATACGTATATACATACTTACGTGGATTCATATGGGTGTGCATAAATACAGACGTTTATTATTGGAGAACACCGGGATTGCTTCAATGTATGCTTTTAAGCCAATGATCTGGTACACTTAGAGAAATTGCAACTCTGCATAGCTATTCGATGACACATCACGAATCAATGAGCGGGTTTTCAGTCACTACTGAGCACGAAATTTTCATTTGATCTGCATTTTTCAGTTCAACCTATAACATTACAAAAGGGTCTATCCGTTAATTTATGTTTGGGTAGAACCCCACAATAAAGTTTAAAGTTGCATAAAGTTATGAATAGAGCTCGAATTTCTATGCTAAAAATAAGCCTAAAGATTTGCCTCATTATACTTAGCTAAGTATAAACAAAGTGTATACCAATTTATATACATACATATGTATATATGTATTTTGCTTATAGTTATGATGGTACATATTTTTAGGCTTATATTTTTGCATGTAAATCTGAGCTCTAGCTATGAAGAAGGCTTCCTAAAAGCCGGCAATTTAAATGGAAAATTATTTTTTATTTTCTGTCAATTTCCATATAAAATTGTAAAAAATTAAAATAATTTTTCACTTAAATTGCTTTCGGAAATTGGCTGTAAGCCTATTGTGGAATTTTAGCGAATTGAAAGGAATTTTATTTTGAAATCTTTTGTTTTATTGTTTTATTTAATTACAAAAGGATGATTGTAGAACAAAAGTTATTCACAAAAACAAGAAAAATTTCTATGATAACGAATTGTAGAATTCAAATATAATCTCAAAAAAATCAAACAAAGCTAAAATCGTCTAAGTGAGTCCCTGACACGTGGAGCTGCTACCTTAACCTCACCTATATTTCAGAATACAGATCAAACTCAAGACTACACTTTGTGGTTGTTGTTGTGGTTGTTGTTGTAGCAGCATACAACTTCCCCAAAGAGTTTTTGGGGAGTGTTGCTGGAGTGACAGTCCTTGGCCAACTATAAATCTGGGTCGTTCCGGTTACGTAGACCCGACTGTCGTGGGAACGATACCTTCGAACGCCTAAATATTCGTAGGCGACTTTTTTCAGTGTCTCGTTACCAACAAACTAACAAACAATCATATGTACAGGCATCCGAAATCAAGCGAAAAGATACTCGCACCCAGATTGTGTTGAGGTACATAAATAATTGTATCTGTGAGTGGGTCGGCGTCTGTAAACGTGCACGCACACATTCAAATGTATGCAGATATTCGTTGTCTGCGTGCTATCTGCTAGTAGCAGCTAGATTCCAACACCGGAGCAACCTATGTAGTACTGCGCCACAACGAATCAGTCTTGTGAATATTCGCGAACTATGCGGTCGCCATACGATGATTTCTCTGTTGTGTCGGACAGCGGTGATGAAGCCAGAGCCAATAGCTACAATTACAGTAGCAACAACAACAGTAGTGCCATACCATATCACGCGCGTGAAAATTCGTTGCCATTTAGTTATGGCCAAATAAATAAGGCCTCGACGCCATTGCGCAGTATTAGTGGTGACGCGGGCACTGGCGGACTATATCGTAATCAACATGGTATCGGTGTTGGTGTTGGTGTTGGTTCGAGTGGTATTCGCGATTTCGGATTGGGCCCAAGTTCGTCGCCTTCGAAGGCGGATATGAGCCTAAGTTCAGGCACTGATCATTATTATGGTACTAATTACAAAAATGCAAGCCAAAACGGATTAACGGCTACATTGAAATCAACAACCGCAAAAACATCGGCATCGGGAAGTAGCACGGACACGACAAATACGATTAAAGCGCAACCACGTCTTACCAGT